TACAAATTTTTAACTTGCAGGCATCTTGATCGACGGAAGAGGCTAATAATTGCAATGGATGCAGCATTCGGAATGGAATATTTACACTCAAAAAGTATTGTCCATTTTGATTTGAAATGTGATAATTTGCTTGTGAACTTGAAGGATCCTCAAAGACCAATTTGCAAGGTGATCCGAGGGTGTTTATGCTGTTTTCTTATGTCTGTCCATTTAAAATATATTTGTTTTTCTATGCGTGACCCACCTTCTATTTCAGGTAGCTGATTTTGGCCTGTCAAAGATCAAGCGAAATACCTTGGTGTCTGGTGGTGTAAGAGGAACCCTACCATGGATGGCACCTGAGCTACTAAATGGTAGCAGCAATAAAGTCTCTGAGAAGGTGATGTACATGTGCCATTGTCTTTTTGAATGTCCTACTAGAAAATTAACCAGTGTTTCTCTGTTATTTTATCTACCATTTGGATTCATTGAAGTTCTGCATGGCATGGAAATTTCTCAGTTGCCTGTACTTGACAGTGAAATTTGAAAATATTCCAAGCACTCATGAAATCTGCACGGACGGTAGTTTGTTTGCATGATTTATTTTCAAATTTAAAACGCTTATAGTTCGTGGGAATACAAAAAACACAACTCTCGCTACATTGTACACACATTGACACTATATGCCATATGATAAGCACGCATCGGCAAATATTCTATATGAGATGGCCTAAGAAATAATTCCAAATCTATATTAGTTGGAAATGACATAGATACAAAACTCTAAAGCGACTGTTCTATTGACTAAAAGCCATTTGATATACAGGTTGATGTGTTCTCTTTCGGTATTGTATTATGGGAGATTCTCACAGGAGAGGAACCATATGCCAACATGCATTATGGGGCTATCATAGGTAAGAATATCTAGACTTTAACTTCTGTCCTGCACGTTAAAATACTATCTCTGTGTTGATTCATGCACACGCTGACCTTTCTTCTCCGAATTCAGACATCATAAATCAAGCTAAATTTTATTAATAACAGTTGCAGTTCTATGGGAAACCTAGCGACCATATACTAATTCAACGTGTCCCTATGGTGTCTATGACTAGTTTTTTTTTGTGATTGCCAGACAAGTATTATTTTGTTAGATGGAAACCATTTTTGTAGGCTGCCTTCTCTTAATGTGGGTCTTCTTCGTTGTATGTTCATGAAAGTATGGCTACTCATAGGAAAAATAAACTAATTCTAAGTTGGGCTCCCACTGGTTTTTACCATTTGAGCACACAAGATTAGCAGTATGAGTGATTTTTAATTGTCGCCAAGACGAAACTTGATCTCAAGATATCACTTCTTATGTGCAGGGGGTATTGTGAATAACACATTGAGACCAACCATTCCAAGTTACTGTGATTCTGAATGGAGAAAGTTGATGGAACATTGCTGGGCGCCAAATCCTTCAGATAGGCCATCCTTCACAGAAGTTGCAGGGCGTCTGCGTGTTATGTCAACAGCTGCAGCTAGCCAAACAAAAGCACAAGGTCCCAAAATACCAAGGTCATAATCATCTTTCAAATGGATTGTTGAGTTACTCATATGCTTTCTTATATATTTGTTCATTCTATTCTACAGTCTTGAAAATTGTGTGTATTTTTGTCAATAGAGGGTAGATAAGTGTTTTGGTGTGAAATATACCGTTGAACCTTAAATATAATTCTTTATTATAGTTTATGCAAAAAACTGATAAAAGCTAGTTAGGAGGGCTTTGCTGCCATTGATTTCCAGCCTAGTTCCTGATTTTGAGCGGTTCACAAATTCAGTGATCATCTACTTGTTTGAATTCTGCAACTCTCGTTTTCACTTCCCTTTGTTGGATGATAAAAGTCCCACATCGGCTAATTTAAGGAATGATCACGGGTTTATAATCAAAGAATACTCTCTCTATTGGTATGAGGCCTTTTGGAGAAACCCAAAACAAAGTCATAAGAGCACCGTGAGAGCTTATGCTCAAAGTGGACAATATCATACCATTGTAGAGAGTCGTGTTCGTCTAACACCCTTTTTGTTAGATTGATGTGTGATTTGTTGCCCAGTGTTTGAAATATTTTAAGATACATTTTCATAAAGACCCATAATCTTCTAGTTCAAAAAATTGCTGTTTTAACCTTTTTACATACAATCCAGGTAACATTCGTCTATTCCTGTGTTTTCAAAATTCTTTACTCTAAACCCTAATTTATACTAACTTTTATTTAATCTCTGTATTTTAATATTTTTCTATGCATACAAATACTGGTTTTGGAATTTTGTATACAATAGATAAATAGCTATCATTTAAAAGTACAAAAATGAAGAAAGTTTAGAAACATTCTCATTTTCTGATTGGGAAAAAAATTATAGAAAGGAGCTTAGGGTATCAAAACGTAGGTATCTGTGCAGGTGAGGCGTCGGTCGGTCGGTCCTAGAAACGGCAGCATTTCTAAAAAAATTATGTTAGAGAAATATATTAAAGAAAAACACTAACAAAAACTTAGGACCCCGCATGTACACTAAATTAAGGAGTATCAAAATTTTGATGATGGCAGGTGAGATTCTTATTCAACTGTCAACTGTCAACTGCTTTGAAGTTTTTTCTTTTCTTCTCCTTTTGCTCCTTTGCTTCAATAGTCCCTTCTCTGCCAATGTTTTCTTTCGTTCTTTCGCTTTCTCCTCAAATCCATCATCCACCATCTTCATTTTTGCCACATAACTAGCCTTGTAAACCTGTGTACAAACGTTGCAAGCTGCATTAAACTCGAATTCACATACAGAGATCGTCGGCCTATCGTTATGAAGTGGGACGACTGAGATGCTCAAGCAGCATCCCATCATATCGATACGCCGATATCTCTACTGTTTCGTCAAACTTATAGCTACTTGAGCTGTAAAATGACTGATGCAACTATAGAGCTAAGAAAATTCATAAGCTTCAGAGTGAAACAAGTTTCTTAGTTTCAAACAACCATTGGTGACATGATTCTGCCCATAACAGTATCCGATTGCTTTCCAAGAAGCCAAAGCATCGGATCTTACCTTTGAATCATTCTCAATCTCTTCAGTCTCCTTGAATTCAAAAATCTCCAATTGCTTTCCAAGATTGGCCTCTATTGCATCAATAAGCTTCAAATCATGCGGGCAGCCCATATGAAGTTTATCAAAGGTAAGAAAAACAAATACATCTCAAGAAAAATACTAGCAAATCCACTTTTTCCTCTAACTCCTCAATGCTCATCAAATTCAAATTGTACAATAGAAAGGAACAAGGTTGGAATACAACGAACCTTAGTCTTGGAAAAGACGACATGGATATCAGGGTTCTCCTCCAGCAACACCTTAACCCTTCCCGGCGTTGCAATTACAATGTGAGGCCTCTTCAGCGAACTCTGCGTCTGGTTCAGCATATCCATTCCTCCAACAACCACTGAGCACCGCAAGTTCAAGCCGGAACCAAGTGCCCTAAACTGCTCAGCCAATTGGAAAGGCGTTGAAGAATCGGCAACGCAAAGGCAGCAGTCTTCCCACTCCCAGTTTGGGCAATACCAAGCACGTCGAGGCCAGCAAGAATCTTCGGGATACAGTGCGTTTGAACCGCCGTAGGCTTCTTCATAGCCAATTCTTCGCAAGTCCGTACGATCGCTTCTGACAAGCCGAGGTTAGCAAATGCAACATCGTCGGCGAATTTAGTGCCAAGTTCTGTGGATTTCTCAACCGGAAGAGGCTTCTCCGGAGCAACGTTGTCGACGGCGGAAGAAACAGGGGCGGCGCTAGGATTCTCGGAAGGTTTAGGGTTCTTTCGATGAGGTTTTGAGAAAAGAGGGCAATTCTCGTCGACGATTATTACTTCTTGATTCATCAAATCAGAGATGACCGAACAAATTTGAAAAATTGCTCCGAAATTTGATTGCTTCACCGCCAAGTAATGCTCACTGTTCAAAACTTGGCGCCATGAAACTCTGAGCAGTTCATCAGGGAAAGCCAGTCGATGAAAAGTGAGCCAAGGCGACGGAGGCGAGAGACGTGGTAGTTAGCGGCTAGGTTCGAATATGCTGTGGTAAAAAAAAATCAACTTTTCCTTTTTTTTAAAAAATAACTCTAATTTTTTAAGAAATTACAATATTGCCACTGACATAAATATTTTTAAACTATCATTTTAATAAATTAATTATAGATTATGCATTTAATTTTATAATTAAAGGTAAATTTTGTTTGTTTCCAAGAGTGTGTTTAATAAATAAGTAATGGAATATTATTGTTTTTATGTAAAAAGTTCAAAACTAAAATTGATTTTGTAACCTTTTAAAAATCAAAATTAAATTTTAAGAACGTAATAATAAATTTAAGAATGAATTGTCACATGTCCGATTCTTACTTTCAACAGAATTAATTTATGATTGTTGGATGAAAGTCCCACGTTGATAGACGAACACGACTCTCTACAATGGTATGATATTGTCTACTTTGAGCATTAGCTCTTATGACTTTGCTTTGGACTCCTCAAGAGGTCTCATGCCAATGGAGATGTATTACTTACATCCTCCCAACAATCCTTCCCTCGAACAAAGTACACTATAGAGCCTCCCCTGAGGCCTATGAAGCCCTCGAACAGCTTTCCCTTAATCGAGACTCGACTCCTTCTCTAGAGTCCTCGAACAAAGTACACCATTTGTTCAACACTCGAGTCACTTTTTTTTTGAGGCTTACAACCATTTTGTTCGACATTTGAAGATTCTATTAACATAGTTAAGTTAAGGGCATGACTCTAATACTATGTAAGCATAAACTCTCCTGACTTTATATTAATGGAGAGAGTATTCATAGATTATAAACGATTATTTGGATGGAGTGGACACAAAAACTTGAAGGCATCACACAATCTAGAAATCATGGATCGTCAACCTTATCTCAGCGATAAGAGAAATCTGTGATCAAAACCACAAATTGATTAATACCCATTCGTTCTCACTGTTCTTCCTGTCCCAATCTCTTTCTCCCTCCACAAATCATAATCGCCTTCCAATTTCTTCCACATAAAACTACTCTCCCAAATCGCCAAATCCCGCCCTTCTCTGTTTCTCACTCGCACCACCCACTTCATTTCTCCTCTGCATCATCAATGGCGTCTGCAGCTTCCCCTGCCACTTTCCATCTCCTTCCCACCACATCCTCTTCCACTTCTTCAACCCGCTCCGCCCTTCTTCAGTTTTCCCCCACCGCCACTTCCTCTTCCTCAATCCGCCTCCGCAGCGCCCCCATTCAGCGCCTTGGCTTTTCCGCCTCCGACCCACTTTTCTCCCTCCATGTCGCCTCCAAGATTCGGTCGTTTCGGGGCAAGGCTTCGAGGGGTGTGGTGTCCATGGCTAAGAAGAGCGTTGGGGATTTGACTGCTTCTGATTTGAAGGGGAAGAAAGTGTTCGTGAGGGCTGATCTGAATGTGCCCTTGGATGAGAATCAGAATATTACTGATGACACTAGGATCAGAGCTGCTATTCCTACAATCAAGCATTTGACGGAGAAGGGAGCTAAAGTCATCCTCTCCAGCCATCTGGTGAGTGTACTCTTTGTTTTGTTGTATCTGGAAATTGATTCGTAGCTGTAAAGCTGTTTGAAGTGATTGATGGGTTAGTGGTTAGTTAATGGAATTTGTAGAGAAAAGGTTAAGGGATGTTAGCCGTGATGGTACATTGCATGTAATGGCAATTGGGTTTTTATGTTCTTGATTAGCCATCCACGGAAACTTGAAATCCGGGTTCAAATTCTTCTTTTCACTAACAAAAACTCTTGAAAGTACACTGTTTATGCTGCACGAGCTTGTGGTATCTGTTCTTAAACAATCAAAATTTTCAGGGACGACCAAAAGGAGTGACTCCAAAATTCAGCTTGGCACCTCTTGTGCCTAGGCTTTCTGAGCTTCTTGGCATTCAGGTACCTTTTTCTTCTGCACGATATGAAACAAGGGCTTCTTTATTGTTAATTATCACCTTTAAACATGTTCTGTATCTTTTGTTCAATCAGGTTGTGAAGGCTGATGACTGCATTGGTCCTGAGGTTGAAAAATTGGTTGCTTCCCTACCCGAAGGTGGAGTCCTTCTCCTTGAGAATGTGAGATTCTACAAGGAAGAAGAGAAAAATGAACCCGAGTTTGCGAAGAAGCTTGCTTCTCTAGCTGATCTTTTTGTAAATGATGCATTTGGAACTGCCCATAGAGCTCATGCGTCGACCGAGGGAGTCACCAAGTTTTTGAAGCCTTCTGTAGCTGGTTTCCTCTTGCAAAAGGTTGGATCCTTTAATCGACACGAACCCGCTTGTTATATTTTGGTTTTCACTGATCTTGAATATAACTGGTAACTGGTCTCAGATTATGAGTGGCCTGATCTTTGTCATGTTATTCTTTTCCTATGTGTAATGATTTTTAACCATGTGGGTAATCGTTTTAGGAACTCGACTATCTAGTAGGGGCCGTGTCGAGCCCCAAGAGGCCATTTGCTGCTATTGTTGGTGGTTCGAAGGTCTCTTCAAAAATTGGAGTGATCGAGTCACTTCTAGAGAAGTGTGACATCCTACTCCTTGGTGGTGGAATGATCTTTACATTCTACAAGGCACAGGGACTTTCCGTTGGTTCATCTTTGGTGGAAGAGGATAAGCTTGAACTAGCAACCTCCCTCCTCGCGAAGGCAAAGGCGAAAGGAGTATCCCTTTTGTTACCGACCGACGTCGTCATTGCAGATAAGTTTGCTCCAGATGCAAACAGCAAGGTTTGTTTGTAAATCTTGTTCTTAGATCCATTTCTCAGATCAATACAGGGCTATAGAAACACAAGCTTCTGAATTTGTATGGATTGATTCGAATAGTGGCTTCGTTTTCCAGTCTTTTCGAAACTTTTAAAACGCTCTACGGAATAGGGAAATAAAAAACTTGATTCTTACCTTGCAGATTGTCCCAGCATCTGCTATCCCTGATGGATGGATGGGGCTGGACATTGGACCAGATTCCGTAAAGACATTCAATGATGCTTTGGACACTACCCAAACTATCATCTGGAATGGACCAATGGGAGTGTTCGAATTCGACAAGTTTGCAGTCGGAACAGAGGTAACGAAAAACTTCTCCATGGTGATTAAAATGCACTTTACATTGATGTCATTATCGTACTGACTTAACCAAGGACAGTGTCGTAACGCTTCTAACGTTCATGTTATCAAACATGCCTTCCCCTATTGTTGACTGACCTTTATGTATCTGTTATATTGCTGGAGTTGAGATCTCGAATGTTAATGGTACTCTGAGGTGCTTGATTTGTTTGGTTCATCGAAGTATCACATGATAGAGACGTAAAAACCGATGTAGTTGAACGTGTGTACAGTATGTATAGCTGATGTGTTTATGTGGTCGAAATATGCGCTTGGTTGCAGTCGATTGCTAAGAAACTTGCAGAGCTCAGCGGGAAGGGGGTGACGACCATCATCGGAGGTGGAGACTCGGTTGCAGCTGTGGAGAAGGTGGGAGTTGCGAGCGTTATGAGCCACATTTCGACTGGTGGGGGTGCCAGTTTGGAGTTGTTGGAAGGCAAAGAGCTACCCGGTGTCCTTGCTCTCGATGAGGCGGTACCTGTCGCCGTGTAGGTGATGGATCATTCCATTTAATTTTTTTCTCCTCCCCGTTGCAGCTGAATGCTTGAATTGCAATGTGTAAGAGAGAAATATATTGATGTAGAAATAAGAGTTCTTGTTGTAAAAGTGGTAGCGTTATGTCTCTCTGCATTTGACATTCCCTTGCCGGCTGGGAACAGATTGTAGGGATAACTGTTCCAAGAGTTGTAATAAATTTGTGCATCAATCTCTCATTTTCCTCTGTATTTTCACGCTTTTCTATGGAATGCTTATACTAATGTGTTAAAAACGAGCACCCTTACCAAGAACGTTTCATTTTCCTCTTTTGAGGCCCAACGTCCCCTCTGGCACTAGTTCCCCTCTCCCATCGATGTCACAATCCACCTCTCTTCGAGGCTGAATTCACCTCCTTTGGAGTTAAGCGTCCTCATTAGCACTCGTTCTCTTCTCCAATCGATGTCACAATCTATCCCTCTTTGAGGTCCAATCTACCCTCTTTGGGGTTCAGCGTCCTTGCGCTAGCACTCGTTCCCCTCTCCAATTGATATCACAATCCACCCTCCTTTTGGGCCCAGCCCTCACTGACACTTGTTCTCCTCTCCAATCGATATCACAATCCATCCCCTCCGGGGCCAGCATCTTCGCTAGCAGTCGTTCCCCTCTCTAATCAATTTGGGATTTCACACAATCCACTCCTTCGGTCCCAATGTTCTCGTTGATATTCGTTCCTTTTTTCAATCGATGATGTGAGATCTCACAATCTACTGCTTTTGGAGCCAGCGTATTCGCTCGCACACCGATAGCTCGATACCAAAATAGAGTAAAGTTGAAAGATTAGAGACTAAATTGAGATTTAATCCGGATTGTTAATATCGTTGCATTTTATGTCGTTTGCATGGGGTGGTTTCCGAACCCACCTACCCATTTCAACGAACCAACCGCCAAATGGCGGGTCGCAGTCGGGCCCGATAACGACCACCCTAGCTTTCGCTTTAGGCCGCGGTCCCATCACCAAAATAAAAAATGATATTTATTAAACAAATCACTATTATCCAACGTGGCATCCTTTTACTCGGTTCCGGTGACCGGCACCGGCAATACGCCGCCGTCTGGCCACCTACCGCATCAATAGTAACGCCATCGGGCTATTAAAACAAAAAAGGCCGCAGACTTTTGGAAATCCGTCATCCCGCTTCCGTTTCTCTGCGAGGGTTGTTCGTTTTGGGAGCGTGTCCTTTTTCGTTCTCGTCGTCATTTCTTCTTAGATCAGCGAAGAAGCTATACAACGATGGCCTTCTCATCCTCCTTCGCTGGATCTGCTGTTTCCTCTTCTCTGATCCAAGCGTCTCGTTCTGACTTCTCGCCGTCCGATTGCCGGAAGGTTGGTTTTCTTTGACGAATCATTACTTGTTTCCATGCTTCTATTTAGTGACGGACTGATAGTGGTTTACTGCATCTTTTGCTTGTATCTGCAGGCTTCATGCGTCGGGCGCTCTTTGAAGCTTCAATCTGCCATTTTCGGAACTACTATCTCGAGTGTGGCGTCTTCTTTACAGTTAAGGTGAAGCCCGACCTTCATCGAATGTGTTTTTCAAATACTGTATTCATTTGAATGGATTGCTTACGTTTCCGTATTGGATGATCTGATTTCGTAGCTAATTTGTTTCGGGAATGTTAAAACGTGAATGGCAGGACATCTAAAAATCGCACCGTTCAACCCATCAAAGCTACGGCCACTGAGGCACCTCCGACGATCCAAAGTAATCTTTTATTCTTCTTTTTTCCCTCCAAGAAACGTTGATAGTTTCAATTTGTCAGTTTCTGACTATTTGATTATTGTTCCTCCCCCCTGCTGGTTCATGTTCAGAAACTCCGAGAAGTGGGAAGACCAAGATTGGAATCAATGGTAAGAACTTTCTTTCATCGTAGTTATGTAACTAATAACTACTCGTTTCTGTTGAGGATTGTTGGAAGGGAGTTCATTGACTAATTAAAAGAATGATCATGAGTTTATAAGAAATGAGACCTTTTGGGGAAATCAAAAGCAAAGCCACGAGAGCTTATGCTCAAAGTGGACAATATCATACTAATGTAGGGATCTGTGATTCCTAAGAGTTTCGTGGTTTAGTAGAAACATCTTCTATAAGATTTCGAAGGCTTACTTTCTCACTTAATGACAAATAACTTAATAGAAGAAAATAGACAAAGAAGAAGAATAAGATTAGTGAACAACATTACCGCGTATGAGAATGAGGCAAAATATACTCTAGAATGGGACAGAGAAATTTATGATGGCTCACTATACAGGTTTTGGTCGAATTGGAAGACTGGTATTACGAATTGCAACCTCCAGAGATGATGTTGATGTTGTAGCAGTTAATGATCCATTTGTTGACGCTAAGTACATGGTATGCATAAGTTTAGTCAATGAACCATTTGGATCCTGTGAACATAGTGTGCATTGGTTTAGTTAATGATCCATTCGGATTTTGTTATCCAGGCTTACATGCTCAAATACGATTCTACTCATGGTATTTTCAATGGAACCATCAAGGTTCTCAGTGATTCAACCTTGGAAGTTAATGGGAAGCAGATCAAAGTTGCAAGCAAAAGGTAGTAACTGAATATTTGCTTCTCTATATTTTGACCTGTAAAATTCTTATGATATCATTTTGTATGGCTTTTGGTTGATTCTATGGCAACTAAACTCCACTAGAGATTGATTCTTGTGATTTTTTGTGCTCAGGAACCCTGCAGAGATTCCTTGGGGTGATTATGGGGCTGAATATGTTGTTGAGTCCTCAGGAGTTTTCACTACAAAAGAGAAGGCTTCAGCACACTTGAAGGTTGTTTTTGATTGTTGATACGTCAATCTCTCTCCTGTTTTAATTTCTTGCTTATCTCTTCTGCTTTGATGTTTTGAACCCCAAGTTGACAATTTGTAACTATGCACTGCAGGGTGGTGCTGAGAAAGTTGTAATCTCAGCTCCATCAGCTGATGCACCTATGTATGTCGTTGGTGTTAACGAAAAAACTTACAAGCCGACGATAGATATCGTCTCCAACGCTAGTTGTACTACCAATTGTCTTGCACCTCTCGCTAAGGTATGAATGAATCCCCTGAATGTGTTGAGTATTTGGAGTGTTGTTTCTAGAATTCGTAAACAATGTGGAGTTCGTTGAGGATTGTTGGGAGAGAGTCCCCATGTTGGCTAATTAAGGGGATGATCACGGAAGTAAGGAATACATCTCCATTGGTACGAGATCTTTTGGGGAAACAAAAAATAAAGCCACGAGAGCTTATGCTCAAAGTAAATAATATCATACTACTGTGGAGGTCGTGGTTTCTAACATGGTATCAGAGTCATGCCCTTAACTTAGCTATGTTAATTGAGTCCTCAAGTGTCGAACTTGGTAGCCTTGAAGGTGTAGTCAAAAGTGACTCAAGTGTCGAACAAAGGGTGCATCTTGTTCAAGGGCTCCAGTGAAAGCAGTCGAGCCTCGATAAGTGGAGGCGGTTCGAGGGCTACATAGGCCTCAAGAGAGTCTCTATGGTGTACTTTGTTCGAAGGGAGGATTGTTGAGGATTGTTGAGGATTGTTGGAAGGGAGTCCCCACATTGGCTAATTAAGTGGATGATCATGAGTTTATAAGTAAAGAATACATTGGTAGGAGGCCTTTTTGGAGAAACCAAAAGCAAAACCACGAGAGATTATACTCAAAGTGGACAGTATCATATTCTTGTGAAGGTCGTGGTTTCTAACCGAGTTCGGAGTAGACTTGCATCTAATTTTGACTCTATCTAATAAAATACATTGATATAGTTCCCTGTGTTGCTTATACAGTCTGCTTGTCTCAAATTGTACGCTATGTCATGTAGGTTGTTCATGAGGAATTTGGCATTGTTGAAGGTCTAATGACAACAGTGCATGCAACCACAGGTCTTTCAGTCTCTCGCTCTCTCAAACTCTCAACTTATTTCATGTGTGCCAATTGTGTTCTTTTTCTTTTTCAGCAACACAAAAGACTGTCGATGGCCCTTCAATGAAGGATTGGAGAGGAGGCCGCGGTGCTGCACAAAATATAATTCCTAGCTCTACTGGTGCTGCCAAGGTATGTGGCTTCAAAAATTGATAGACCTTTCTTATGGTTTTGATAATCAATTGAAAAGGAGAGTTTTTCTTCTTTGAACTTTTAACAACTGCAGGCTGTTGGTAAAGTTCTTCCAGAGCTAAATGGAAAGCTTACTGGAATGGCTTTCCGTGTCCCAGCACCCAATGTATCTGTTGTGGACTTAACTTGCCGACTTGAAAAAAGTGCTTCATATGAAGATGTAAAGGCAGCGGTAAAGTATGTGTCATGCACCCAACAACTGTGCCTTTCATTAAGTTCTTAATATGTTTGATAACCATTTGGCAACTCTTCCAATACTTTTTAAAGGTATGCATCCGAAGGTCCATTGAAAGGCATTCTTGGGTATACCGATGAGGATGTTGTCTCTACTGATTTTCTTGGTGACTCCAGGTGCAACTTTTTCCTGCATATTCAACTCAACTATGTGGCTGAATAACATGTAGTTAGTAAAATTGAAATATTCATAATTTAATCGTTGTTAGATCAAGTATATTTGATGGAAAGGCTGGAATAGGCCTCAGTGCCTCATTCGTGAAGCTGGTGACTTGGTATGACAATGAATGGGGATACAGGTATTCTCTCCTTCTACTTCACACATTTTCACTAATTCTGGGGATGGCTCATGAACAACTATTGCTCGTCTTTGCAGCACCCGAGTTCTGGACCTTATCGAGCACATGGCATTGGTTTCAGCCTAAAACTAAATGATAGTCTTGTGATTTTTGGTCGTTAGTAAGTTGATTGAAGTGAGATGGCGTCTATTTCTTCTTGGAATGCATTCATTCGAATGCTGTTTAGACCACAAGAAGCTAGATAGATCATAGAGCTTGAAATAAGGGAATGTTTGACATTTAAGAGCAAACTCTTCCAGTTAACCATTCCTCTGTTTATCCTCTGTATTCCACTATTTTGTTCACATTGGTTAATTAAATAATTATAAGCAGATAAGCACAGATCATTACCTCTTTTTCTTCCGGTGTAAGCAGCTGCAGCACTTTTGAGACAGATGTCTGCCCGCAATATGGTTTGTCTTTTCTCTGTTGGATGTTTTACAACGGTCGTCATCTAAATTGGATTGTGATTCAATTGCTGGGATTTTGTCTGTGGACACACACGTCACGTATCATAATAGCATAAATGTTGAATACAATAATTGAGGTCACAGTTTAATTTGGTGAATTAGGTTCAACAACTCCATTATGTCAATACAAAAAAATTGGCTATCGTTCGGGTCGATGCTATTGTCCCCTTCCGAACATTCTCACTGATGCAATCTCAGTGATTCTTGCTTTTACAAGGAATTTTGATGAAATTTTACATGTTTTGTAATATTCTTCACGTTAGTGTGGGATATGCTAAAATCTATCGACATCGAATAAATGTCATTTGAACTATCTATCGACATCGAAAAACGATTCAATGGTTTATTTTGTGAAGACAGAACAAGAAAAATAGTAACTATCAGTGAATAAGCAAAACAAGGGGAAACAAATATTATCAATATTTCTACCTTGGTTTTACCCCAACAATGCTCCCACCATTGACAAGTTCTTCCATATGATATAGATACCAAACAATCTTAAAAAAGACTTAAAAATGCACCAAAGTTGAGAAAAGCGTCGACGATTATGTTAAACTTATAGGAAAACACGTAAGGTCCTACAAAGCAATTCCCAAAACCAGGTATTTCAATTATTTAAAGCAAACCTCTAACTTTCTACAACACTCAGAATTCAGAATGCATGTCAAATCATCCCTTTCCTAAAATAATCCAACCCTTTCCATGCCATTGTTAACTGAATCCACTCTTCTATATTATATTAATCCTCCATCCAACTTAGTCAGCAACACTGCACCATCGTCTTTCTCTTTATAATGATCTTTCTGGTTTAGGTAAAAGAAAATCGGTTCCTTATAACCGGATTCTCAGTTGGGTTCGTCAGCATAAAAATGGCAGATAATCCCAGAACAGATTCATTCAGAACAGAACTTTTGTCCCCAGAGGGTGTGGCTGCTGGAAGAGATGGAATGGTGTCAAAGGTGCCCTCGTGGCGACTTAATATGGATGAGTTCCATTTGCCTGCAACCAACAAGAGATCTCATCATGGCATTGTTTATTACTGGAAGTCATGGAGTAAGCTTTTCAAATGCATTCTCTTACCATTTCTTCAGTGCCTTCAACAGAAAAACTTGAGTTTTGGAGGTGAAACTAATGAGCGTTTTTATCTTGATGCTAGAGAGACAAAGAAATGTTGCTAAGTACTATGAAAGGCAAGAAAGTCTTCTCAAAGGATTCAATGAAGTTGACTCCTACAATGAACTGGGCGTCGTGCCAGGAACCTTAACTGAGGTATTTCTCTTTTTTCTCTCTCTAAACTCGCACCTTCTTATTCTCTCAGATAAGACACATTCACCTAGTTTCTAATATACCAGGAAGAAAAGAAGCAAGAGGCCAACAGTGAGAGAATGGCAATATATGCATCCAACATAGCCAACATGTTGATCTTCATCGCAAAAGTGTATGCTTCAGTTGAGAGCAGATCACTAGCAGTTATAGCATCAACACTAGATTCCCTGTTGGATCTTTTATCAGGGTTCATATTATGGTTTACAGCTAATGCTATGAGAAAGCCAAATCAGTATCGTTATCCTATTGGCAAGAATCGGATGCAACCAGTGGCAAGTCAATCTCTATTAACAAAATTTAGCTATTGAATTAGTAGAAAGAGTCTCTGTTGAATGAAGAATGTGAATGATTGTCTAAGAAAATAGAGGGTCCCAATGGAGAAATAGCACCTAATATTTTTCAAGGTTAAAGCAAAAAACTCTTTAATGTTGTCATACAATCAATGAACAAGTTCACCAGCATAAAAGAAAGTCAAGTCATGTTAGAACAAATATAGAAGAAAGCAAAATAGTATGGACTAACCTTCCAAATTTATGCCAGGGTATTGTCGTGTTTGCATCCATCATGGCAACTCTTGGAATACAAATTTTGCTTGAATCAGCTCGAGAACTTATTTCAAAGGTAAGCAAGTATGATTATCAATTGATACAAAAGAACACACCAGTAGTTTCTCCATATGATTCGTCTATGAATTGTTGCAGGTTCAACCAGATAGAGATCCAGATAAAATAAAATGGATGGTTGGAATAATGGCATCCGTAACAGTAGTGAAAATTTGCCTTACAATCTACTGCCGCAAATTCGCAAATGAAATCATCAGAGCCTATGCCCAAGACCATTTCTTTGATGTAATTACCAATTCAATTGGTCTTGCGACTGCCCTTTTGGCCATCAAATTCTACTGGTGGCTTGATCCCCTTGGGGCTATCCTAGTAAGTTAGCCACACACAGTATTCATATCTGATTTTACTATTTCTACTCACTAAATATATTTCTACACTAGTTACATCTACATTTACATAATAAATATAGATAGCATTGTACACTATCAGCAACTGGGCGAAAACTGTGATGGAAAATGTATGGTCGCTAATAGGGAGGACAGCCCCACCAGACTACTTGGCCAAGCTAACATATCTAGTATGGAATCATCACGAGGAAATCAAACATATTGATACAGTGAGAGCATATACCTTTGGGTGCAACTATTTTGTGGAGGTGGACATAGTGTTGCCTGGTGAAACGTCTCTAAGTCAAGCACATGACATAGGAGAATCACTTCAAGATAAACTTGAACAGCTTGATGAGGTTGATCGTGCATTTGTTCATGTGGACTTTGAGTTCACTCATAAGCCAGAGCACAAGCCTAAAGCTTCATAGAAAGGAAAATGGCAAATAACGAATATGTGAGCTGCATGAATTCCTGAAAGAGAGTGGTTTGAATTGTGGTTATCTCTAACTATTCAATTGTTTGAATTATACATATGCTGTACACAATTTTCAGCTTTCCAATAAAAATGGATTTGCCTTCTAATGATTAACATTTCACTGAAAGTCCTACAAAAACTAGTGACAAGTCAACTCTGTCACTGTCATATAACAAAATTTGACTGAACGTCCTGCAGAAACTTGTCGCCACAAAATAACATCTCTGGTTGTGGATTTAAAGCCAAAGCATCCAACATTTCAAATGGAGAATCCATTCAGTGTCTGACAACATCAGGAGAACTAATGCAACAATAGAAATGAAAACAATAACGCTCAACAAGAAGCATCAACTCTCAATGATCGATCATAAGCCAGACAAACATCCCGAGTCTTTCTATATAATTAGAGATCTAGAGGTCTCTTAAACAATCCATTAAACAATCATGGAAACGGCATCCTTCTTGGGGGGAAACACTACATTCTTGTTTCCAGGAAATGCATTACGAGAGATGTCTACCAGAGCCTTGAAACTATAAGGTTCGTGCATTGACAGCTCTGATAATACTTTTCTATTTAGTTGAACGTTCTCCTTCATCAGCCCATGCATAAAATTGCCGTAATTTACCTAATATGGTAGGGAAGGAGATAAAAGGAACATTAGTATCTCTACAGAAGAGTCTATTAAAGTAGTAAGAAGCAAATTGATTGTGCAGAACACAAGTCTACAGTAATTATTCGACCTAAAGCAGCTTCCACTCCTCCCTCTGCCAAATCAAACCATTCATACAAAAAGTGCTAAAATTTACAAATCGCGTGAAATTTATGCGACTTCTCCAGGCAGGTCAAGTTGGCTTACAATTACAGAGATGAATTGTAGAAAGAATGAAAGGGGCAAGTTCAGAAGCTAGAATTATGGGATGTGGGAATATCAGAGGAAATTAGAAATTTGATGCGAGAATATCAGTGGTTCAGAAGCTAAAAGTGTTCATCATTTTAGATGGATAAATTTCGCTAACCTTTTAATTTCTTTGTTGGTTTCTTACTTTGCGGTATTCAAATGAGGAACATTCAAGGAAAATGGACATACCCCATGAAGGCGCGTGCCAGCATTGATACGTTGTATCCAAAGGGAGCGCATGTCCCGTTTCTTATTCCGACGGTCCCTGTAGGAATACTGAAGAGCCTTCTCCACCCTCTCTCTGGCAATCCTTATGCAATTCTTAGCCCTACCTCTGAAACCCTTGGCTAGCTTAAATATCTTGTCCTTGTTCATCTTTTTTCCTTGCTATGCTCTGCACCTTTACATACTCTTCAAAATCAGTAATTGATCAATCATATATGAACATCTCATGATCCAATCAAAACAAATTATAAAGTAAAAAACCAAGTACACTCAACAAATAATGTCGAACAACACGATTTTCAAATCTTCAGCTCTAGATATTTGATTGAGTTTTTCCAGTGCGAAGAAAGATATAGACGCAAAAAAAGGGAAGAAAATCACTGCAAACCTGTTAGAAGGGAGGTTTCGGTGGTACAAGCGGAAGAGAGACGGCAGCGGCGACGCTGAGCTGCTGAAAGGGAAGAGAAGACGGCGGGAAGAAGGAGAAGAAGAAGGTGGAGCACGTGAGAGTGAGCGGAAAGAAGAAGTTTAGGTATAAAATTATAGAAAATACCCTAAATTACTGAAAATAACAATTTTCACCCTAAATTGCTGAAAATAACAATTTTCACCCTAAGTTTTGTATTTCATATAATTAAACCTTCATATTTCATAATTATTGCAATCATATTATATAATGCATGCATGTATTTATAATTACAGGTTTCTAATGAATTATAAAACATATCAACTATTAAATTAAATATTTACATCAAAGTTTCGTCAATTTTAAGACATTTCTTTAGGTATATTCACTAGTTGATTAACGTAATTTTAAAATATATTATTTTTATTATTTAATTACTCAATTCATTTTTTTTAAAATAATCTAAACGGACGGAAACTTAATTAGGTTTATCATAATATCATATTAGACACAAAATTAAAGCTCTTGAAACTATTAGATACAAAATTGAAAGTTTAGAGATCGAATAAACAAGAAGAGACACTGTAAATTATTTTAAATACAGTCATTCATAATAGTAAAAAACGCACGTTAAACCATTAATCCAAAGGGTGTTTCAATTTTTATTTAGAGTTCAATTATAATTGACGTTCGTAAATTCTAATATTTAGTATCGGAAACTATATGTTGTTGCATACAATAACATGACTCAATTAGTAGTAAAGTTTCAATTTTTAACCTTAAACAAGTTTATAAGGGATAAGATTGGGTTTGGAATTGGGTGTCGTCCCAATTCCCGCTCAATAGATAAAAGGAAGGGGGGGTTACCTCGCCTCATCGACAAACGCCGAAGCATGCAGCAGCTTCAAGCCCGCCTGCTAAAGTCTCTTTCCATTTCTTCTTCACCGGCCGCCTCAACAATCCAAGAAATCGCTTCCGCTCGCCCCAAAGGTCAGTCTGTGATTTGTATCCCTCGCTTGCGACCTGCAAAACGATATCGATTATCCCAATTCGTTTATGTTTCTTCCCCACATTTAGCTTCTGGTTCGTCAAAATCCATGTTTATCGATGTATGCCGCAGCTTTTTCATATTGATTGCGCTTTGAAACTGGTAAGGCGATTGTGTAAAGAATTGTGTTGAATTTGGGGGTTTTAGGTTTATCCAAGGTTGTGCTGAAAAAGGGGAAGACACAGCTCTTTAAAGATGGGAGTCCGATGGTGTACAGTGGAGCTATTGATAGAATAATTGGAAGGCCACCGCCAAAAACTGGAGATGTTGTCTTGGTAGCCGATGGGGCTGAGAAACCTATAGGGTGGGGTTTGTATAACTCAGTTTCCATGTTCTCTGTCAGATTGATGCAGCTGGAAGAGGAGGCAGCTAGGTACTTAATTGGGCAATGCTTGAACTCTGTGACTAACATCACCTTCTTTATGTGCTGCTAAGTTTCCAATTTGTGCAATCCAGAGATCCTTCGTGCACATTAGATATGCAGAAACTGATTGAAACCAGGATACATACTGCTAGAGAATTAAGAAAGAGCTTGGGACTTCCGTCGGCGAGTACGAATGCATACCGTCTCGTTAATAGTGAAGGAGATAGGTATCGACCTCGAGTATTCTGTTCATATCTTCATACATTATGCAATCCATATCTGTAAAATTTGATTAAATCTAGCACCAACATGCATTGATCTTCGTTCTTAAGCATTTCGAAAGACATTCCAAACCGACCCAACTCTAACTGTTTGCGTGTGTGCGCATTCAGAGGGAGGGGTGTATGAATCTCTTAGACCGTAAATAGTTTGTTTGTGTACTGGAACCTATAATAGCCTTATCCAAATGTCTTAGAATTATTGTTTTTTTTTTTTCTTTTTGGCAGATTGTCAGGACTAATCATTGACGTCTTTGGAGATTTAGCAGTTGTGGCATCATCGGCTGCATGGGTGGAGAAGTACAAAGCTGAAATCGAGGACTGTGTCCGTGGAATTGATGAAATCAATCATGTGAAATGGAGACCATCGGTGGAAATTCTGAAGGAAGAAGGGATAGATGTGTCTGAATTGAAGGATACAAATCCGTCTATTTGTCTTGAAAGAACAAAGGTAACAAGCGACTCCAACACTTATACTGTTTCAAGAAATGCTCTATGTCATGTTCATGGTAACTAAATGTAAAAATTGTGGAGCCCTTTTGATGAGTAAACTGATCTTACATGCTTGAATAATCATCAATGAGTATCAAAGATTTGGAAACTAGGAGATAAGGGTTGCTTATATAAGTAAGCTTTATGCACAAATCCTCACTGGGATGTGTTCTAGCAGGTGGAAATTCTTGGTAAGAAGAGAAGCTATGAGGGTATCATGTTAATGTAGAAAGTACTTCAAAAGCTATATAATACATACAACCAAGTTATTACCACAAAATCAGATGAGATATTGAACATGCCTTACTCTGATAGGTAACAGAGAATGGAATTTTCTATGCCATTTCACTTGAAGGCCAGAAAACAGGGTTTTATGCTGATCAGCGTGAAAATCGTCATTTTATCTCAACAATTTCTGAGGGTCAAAAAGTTCTTGACCTCTGCTGCTACAGTGGTGGGTTTTCTCTTAATGCAGCACGTGGTGGAGCTATTAATGTCACCGGTATACATTTCTTTTCTTGTCTTCTATTAAAGCTTTTAGATCAAATGTTTAGGAGAGTATGCTGTGGCAAAGTCACTAATTATTCATACTTAGAAAGAAATTCAATCTTTTGTGTGTGTTTATCTGTTGCTATCACGGAAAAGAAACAGGATTCTCTAGCCTTGAATACAGTGGTACTATTCTCATAAGTTCGCTAATTATCAGGTATTGATTCATCACTGCCTGCTCTGGAGCTAGCAAAAGAAAATGTAATCCTTAATAGTATGGATCCTGACAGAATATCATTTTTGAAAGCTGATGCCACTACATTCATGAAGGATGCTCTATCTAGGAATGAATGTTGGGATATAGTCATTTTGGATCCTCCCAAACTAGCTCCACGAAAAAAGGTATGATGCATTTGATTATTTTTCCTGTTACGAAAGTTCTTTGATTAATTAATTCTATGATCTTACATGTTAGGCCCCATGTGAAATACTGGTACAAAGTGAACATAAGTTCTTAATTCTTTGATTCTGTTCACTCTTACAAGTTAGAATCCACGTGAAATCCTATTAACTATTTGGTGTGTGGTTTTTAAACGTCAGAAAGTTGTGGATTTTAAGATGATAGATCAAATTGTTCAATAAATCATCCTGGGCTTGTTTTGAAAGTATCAAGTTTGTTAATTTTCATCATCCTACTAACTAAAGCTTAGTAGGTTCTACAAACTGCATCAGGCATGTATAGGACTTTAAATTCATTAGCAATGCAACTCACAAGGAAAGGTGGTCTTCTCATGACTTGTTCATGCTCTGGAGCAATGACTCAGAGTGGGATGTTCCTGCAAACACTCCAGGCAAGTCCAGTTCCGCCCCCACCAACCATGAAAATGAATCATTACTATTGCTTATTTCAATGACTTAGAAACATTGTTTGGTAATTATGTAGTTTCTATGCCTCATCATCTTGACTTAAACTATATGAAGAGTTATTTAGGATAATATCTATCGTGTCATGTACGAAAAGAATCTATTCAGCTTGTTTAAGGAAACTAAACTGGTATGTACTGCCCCTTTCATTTAAACAGGGTGCAGCATCAATGGCCAAAAAGAAAATCACAGTCCTACGACAAGCAGGAGCAGCATGTGATCACCCCATAGACCCTACTTACCCAGAGGGTGCATATCTTTCTAATATCCTTCTACGTGTGCTCTAAACTTGATGAAGTTATAAATGTATCTACCATTGATCAAAAGAGACAAGCCATTTAACATAAGGAGATGAGATACTGCATTTGAAGTTACACTATCGTCAGAGCCACATCTTCATACAAAAAGGAAAGTAGAAGTTCCATTACAACAATCTGTCATACACACTGCCCTGCCCTTGTTTCTTATATGCTCACATCAAAATAAAATTACAAATAAAATTACAACAAACCGTGTTCTAGCAGCTCCTGCTTCAGTGCCCGCTCGGGTTTCTATTCCATGACAGATATGATGGGTCCCCAAGTCGCCTGAAATTGTTATTAGAAAATGTTAAAATTTATAGCATCGAAATTTTCTTTCTGGTTTTGCATGATCAATGAACTAATGAGACAAGCAAATACATCATGCCGTGTACTTTCAAACAACTTGTCCAATTTTCTCAGATCATAAACATCCTAAAATTTGAAATTATGAACAAGATTTCAGTTCAAATGGGGTTTCTGGTAAATTACCTTGGTTTAACAAGATAGACGATTGTGAAAGCCATTGCCAAAAAGAAGCATAACCCACCGACAGTAAGATAAGCAATGCCAAGAAAGTCATTCTTCCCACCAAGCCAGCTAGTTGTAGAGAGCACAAGCTTTTTCTTGCCGTTAAAACTGTATGTGTTGTAATTGTTCTCCAAAACCACATCTATTACATCATCTTTCTCAAGGTCCACTTCTATCTTTCCATACAACTTTCTAAATGTGGGAAGTGCAGCAGTTCGCATCCACACAATAAGGTCCTCCTGTTGACTCAACTGTTATGCATAATACAAAAAACACGGTCAGGCAACTGATCCACATCAACTCTGTTTCTTTTAAGTTCGCAATGGCAACAGTCGTTTCTCGAGTTCTAATATCAAGAACAAAGCACCTTAGCTCATACATGTAAAGAGATTTAAGATAAAAACAGGATGTTTTGACTCACTGGTACGGATTCATTGAGGGTTTTCCCTCCTTTCATAGTACCATTCTGAAAGTTCTTGGGAAATACATTCTTGCCAAATTTGTGTTCCCGGTCACTCTTCCATGAGATACCGATCTTGTTCACAGCGACTTGCTTCTTGTTACGGGTGAAGCTATAAGTATCATTAAACAGACTCCACGCTATCAAACCACAGGGAACGATTGGCTTCCCATTCACTTTGTCTTCGGGCTTGCAAGAGCCTAGATCATTCTCACTTCCAGCATCTCTCAATTGCTTATCACTACGGCTCTGCACATATCTGAATCACACAGGATCATGAAAATATTTCAGAATATGAAACACCGGCAATTGAATAAAAGATTCAATTCATTCACAGCATGAGATCAAGAAAACAGATGAGGACATTCCAAGCACTTATCAAGACCTTCATGAACTATCTAGCGAATCACATGATATGCATAAAATAAGACGATGTACCTGCGGTGATTCTGATAGAAATTGTCGAGCTGGTAATAGACATATATTGGTTGCTTCATACGTTTTGGAACCTACACAAAAATGGGTTGAAAAATACATGTTACTATAGTGAATTTGAAAGGAATTCTTTCTTTCATAAACTTCCAGACACCATAAGCTACTATTAAAGCCTTTTGCACATGTAAGAATCAACTATGGAAATAATGACGCTGCTAGAATCTTACAGTTATATTTCTGCGGCAAATTTTAATTGCAGTGCCCTGTATGAACCCAACTTTGTCGTTTCTAAATCTTTCCGGTACACACTCAGTTTCATAACGATCAATTATTTCAACAACCTAATGAAGAGGAAAAGCATCTGAAACCAGTTAAAGAACAAACTCAACATGAAAATAAAATTTAAAAAGGAAGAAGAAAAGTATTCTTGTTTGAACGTACATCTCTGGAAGCAAACAAGGAAGCAACTCCAATGGGAACAAAGATAATGCTAACTAACATGAATACTGAAATCACCTGCACGAGGAGAGATTCCACTTTGTTCCTTAGTTTTTTATAACAAAAAAGAGAGGAAAAAAAAAAAAGAGATATGTTAAAACAAGAACAACAATAAAGCCTACCCATCTTGGTGTGAGGATGGGTTTACACGCTGGAAGCTCCTGCTGGGTAAACCTCGAATCTGGATAAGAATTTCGTTTCAGTTTCCATATAAACGGAAGGCATTCAAACCAGACGTGAAGAAGAATTTAAAGCGAACAGAATAAAGGCTATATCTTTGTTCTTAACTTCCAAAAAGGAAATTCGTGGAAGCATAAACCTAATCATCTCATTAATTTCAGAATAGTCATCAGATTATCATTTTATCATCATATAATCACACAAAAAAAACATGGCAGAGTCTAATTCACAATCATTAAGTACAAAATCCATAGATCAGCACTGATCAACGCTGGAATCAGTGAATTAGCCATGGAGAACGAGAGAAAAACCCAATACCCTTAACGACGATTTAAAAGGTTGGCATACCCAACATTAGTTCAATCCAACATTAAACGCGGGAAGAAGATCAAAACGGGAAAGAACAAGCAACAAAAAAAGAAACTCGCAAAATCAAATCAAAAAGAGACGAAAACTCACATTTAGGTCGCTTTGAATTCCTTTTACTTGATGATGAATCGTTCGATCCCGAGCCTCCGGAGCTAGACGCGGTGTTCGAATTCATAATAATCAGATTCCCTTATTGTGTGTAAGAGCTCTCAAACCCTGATCAGAAGGAAATCCAGTTAAATAGAGACGAAAACAAAGATGGATTCCGCGTCAAAAACTTAATCCAAGTCGCGGCGATTTCAGAGAAAGGGGAAATTCAAACGATGGCTATTATCCAAGAAAGATTAAACAATAGGAGGCCGAGTCTTTGCGGTTCTCATTGTTTGACTTCTAAGAAAGACGGAAAATCAATAATACTTGTTTAATCGTATCTCAAAACCTCAATGAATGAATGAATGAATCAATCCATGAACCTCCCTAAGACGACGAACACAAAGCATCGCTTTCTTTCTTTCTCTCTCCTCTCTTTTCTAGAATAGAGAGAGAGGGGAGAGGGAGGCAGGGAGCGGAGGAAGAAAAAATGGACAAAGGAAAACGAAAGGAAGCCAATGGAGAAGAACCAACGCCGAACACCGAAAACAGGAAACCTTCGAACAATGGAAGAATCAAATCAAATCAAAACCAAACAATACGGTTAAACTAAACTAGGCTACTCTAATCCAATTTCTTCCCTCTCTAATTTGGGTCTCTATTTAATTAACTTTAATTTTCTATTTAATTAACTTTAATCATCCCTTAATATCTTCATCTTTTATTCTTTTTCTCCCAAATAATAAACTTTTAATTTCTTTCCATTTACTTCAATTTTTAAAATTAATTATGTCATTTTAATTTTACATTTTTACCCCTCTAATTTCATTTTAAATATTTTAAATATTTAATTAATTTAAGGAATAATCATGAGTTTATAAACAAACAATACTTTCTCCATTGCTACGAGACCTTTTGAGGAAGCCTAAAGCAAAACCATGAGAGCTTATACTTAAAGTGAACAATATCATACCATTGTAGAGAGTTGTGTTCGTCTAAATGGTATTAGAGCTAGACACGAGGTGGTGTGCCAGTAAGGACGCTGGGGCCCAAAGGTAGTGGATTTCGATGTGGTCCCACATTGATTGAAGGAAGGAAAAAGTGCCAAGCGATGACGCTGGCCCCGAAGGGGGGTAGATTGTGATGTCTCACATTGGTTGGAGAGGAGAACAAACCACCATTTATAAGGGTGTGGAAACCTCCCGAAAGAGAGCTTATGCTCAAAGTGGACAATATCATATCATTGTAGAGAGTCGTGTTCGTCTAACATGATATCAGAGCCATGCCCTAAAATTAGTCGTGGCAGTACAATAGATTAGTAACCTCCTCGACGATACGAAGGTAGTAAAAAATGACTAAGACTCCAAAGGAGTCAAGCCTCGATTAAGGGGAAGCGTATTTGTGTTTTTATAAAGATTTTTACATTATTTTATGATATAATTTGTGGAAATTTGAGTAGAATAAATACTAATTTCCTAAATTATTTTTTAAGTAAGTTTATTTATTTATTTAATAATTGTTGGACCAGTATTTGAATTTAAAATGGGCTGCGTATTTTTTGGTTTGAATAATAAGGCTTGAACCGTGTTGTGGGGTATAATTGTAATTTTGTGTTTTGGCGGGGCGATTTTTGTCACATTGGTTACGTTGACCCATTGTTGACGTTACCGCGGAATTTTAATTGGGACCAAACGACGTTTTGGATAATGTACTGATATTTATGACGTTCAATATAGTTATTGAACTAAAAATAATATGATAATTAACCAATTTACATAAATTTAAATGAATATTGTATTATAGAGAATAATAGCTTTATATATTTATCTAAATTAAAATTAACAAAATTTAACGAAATGTCGATGGAATTTAATATTGCAATATTTTCTAAAATTTAATAATCGAGATTGTAACACCTAAACAAATTTTAGGTGCAAACGGTTGAAATTGAAATATCAACCAGAAAAATTATAGGAGCCCCGAAAAATTTTTACATCAACAAAGACTTACATGTAAAGCACATAAAATTTGATGATACACTAGATCCGAAACTCGGGATATAAGAATTTATGCCACTTTTACCCTTGAAGAGAATGATTAAATGCAAGAACGATTTGTTTCTCGTTAATCTCACTTTTACTTGTTCCTTCTCAAAATTCACCAATATCATCCTCGTCCTTTACTTCGTTGGTCTTGCTATATTTTTGTCGAGAAAAACAATAAAATGAAATAAGATGAATACCCATTGTTATTTATTTAATTCCAATCGTTCTCTTCAACTTACACTAATACGTGCATTTAAATAATTTGGAGACTAAAAACTATACATTTTCTTGCATGAAAATTAATATTATTATTTTTATTAAATATACCAAGCCTAATAACTAATTTTAAATCATACTATATCTAAACTAAAATGAAATTAAAAATATAAAAATCAAAATAAATGGAGTGATTATATTTTCAACACATTATATATATATATATATATATATATTTTGTTATATATATAAAAAAAAGTTTTGAGAATCTATAAATAGCTAAAGATTATACTATTAATTTCTTTTTTTAAACAATATATTTGCTTTATGAAATATATTTAAAAAAATGAAAACTTTACCTTCTTTTTTAAAAAATAATAAACTAGTAAAAATTATAAAAATTAATTTTTACAAAAAAAAAAAATTCACGAGAATCTGTTCCTCGATCTCACAAAATAAATGAAAATTTTTGCGAAAATAGAAAATAAAATAGGTGGCAGGGAGGGATGGGTACGAAGAAGGCTTCCTGTCCCCGCCCGCCTCCTGGACATCTCTACATACAACTTTAACTACAGAACCGAAATATGTTCAAAATTTTAAGTCGGTCTCTTAGACATGAATAAAGATTTAATGAAGATAAAATTTGTTCGTTTTAACCTATAATATGTCAGTCTATCTCCAAAATTTTGGGTAGATGAGTCAAATTATTCCATGGTTGAACTAAAAAAAGGAGAGTCCCGTTAAAGCGGATTCTGTAAGGAGATTTTCTTCCGCAAGTGCCATGTGCATCCAAACAATCTGCCGCAGTCACTGAAGACTGATCTGATAACCTCGAATTTTTATTTCAATTTGTAGGGCTTATCACGTGAACGTTTGTAATTGTTAAATGCTGCAGCCATAGCTGAATTCCAAGGAAGAAACAACATGACTATGATGGTCGCTGCAAGAGTAATCGCAGCCACAACAGCTCGATCAGTGGTGCGATCGACCAGGCTCCCTCTTCAATCTCCATCGCTATATGTGTTTGCTCAGCGGAAATCTCACTCCCACACGCTTCTCATTCGTCAGGTAATCATATCACTTTTCCCGTTTCTTCCTTGCTAATTATTTGGATTGGTAATTCGAGTTTCTGGACGTGGATCTTATGCTGTCATGCTTTGATGTCAGATGAGCTCCGAGGCGCCGAGCGTTGTTACTCGTCTTCAAAGTTCTGGATTGTTTCGAAGCCAAGGCCTTATTGGAGGGAAGTGGATTGATGCTTATGATGGGAAGACCTTTAAGGTATGGCTGAAAGGATTTTTTTTGTTTTCTGATGCTTCCAATATCAGATAGCGGGTTTGTTAAATATAGTTTTCAATAAGTCGAGCGATGATTTCTTAATTTTTTCTGCATCCGTCGAACTTTTGTTCGTTTCTCTAATCTTTTATTGATTTTAGAGAGAGATCGTATTTTTTCACGATACATTAGACGTGGGTAACAATTACTCTTGCATTTGTTAAAATTTTTTCCCTTATATTTGCTCACAATTAAGTTTGAAGACTGTTGAGGAAGTTTATCTTTGTGTTGCAGGTTCATAATCCAGCCAATGGTGAAGTTATAACCAATGTCCCGCTCATGGGCAAAAGGGAAACCGATGATGCTATTTCTTCAGCTCATGATGCTTTTAAGTGTAAGCGTCAGATTAGTCATGATTAAAGCTTATACGTTCTAGGAGATTAGTTACAATGTAAGGTTGAAGTGTTGAACTAGCGTGTTGCTTCTTCATCATTATAATATTGATGCTGTATTCTGTTGTGGTGCAACCTCTACAAACTTTTTGGTAGCTATGGCTCAAACACTATTTTCGCCTATTGGAAGTGTTTTCCTGCGACTTTCGTGGCGTTTGTTGTGGCTCACCTCCCCCATTTTTGTCATTTAATTTATTTAATGGAAGCCGTTTCTTGTGAAAAATATTACTTGCTAACTTCAGCCATCTGCCATATTTTTCCTTGAAGCTTGGAGCAAGCTCACTGCAGCTGATCGGAGTAATCGCTTACGGAAATGGTATCAACTTATTCATCATATTGTTTTCTAATTTTTATTAATTATCATTATTATTACCTTTTCTTTTATCTCCAATTGGATAGTAAGAGAAATGGAATCGTTTTCATTCATTTTTTGAATTTCTTCTTACCACATCCATTTAAAATATCAGTATAAAAATGTTAACAAGTCTTTATATGCCAAGATAAATTCATGGAAATTTATGTCTTGTTCTGCTTTGAGTTTCCTGTAAGTAAGAAAAGGACATACAAAGAGTAGCAGAGGCAATAAAATTGTGTACTTTTGATATCGAACCATTTCAACATTCGGTGCCTAGTTCCTTGGAATAGCATTGCATTTGTTATCTGTCATACCTATGATGTTTCTTTTCTCTCCTGTATTTTGAAGGTATGAGCTCCTAATTGCCCACAAAGAAGAGCTTGGACAACTGATAACCTTGGAACAAGGAAAACCCTTAAAGGAAGCTATGGGTGAGGTATCATATGATGCACTTTAGCAATCATCAGGCATTGACGTGTTATCATTTTGTTCTTTTAACATACACGTTGCAACTCGTTATACAGGTTACCTATGGAGCCAGCTTTATTGAGTTCTTTTCTGAGGAAGCAAAGCGAGTATATGGTGACATAATCTCACCAACTTTAGCGGATCGACGACTCTTTGTCTTGAAGCAGGTCAATTGAAAGTTTTATGCTATTTGTTTATTTTTTTGGAAAATTACCAGAACGCCCCATTTTTTTTTTTTTTTTTTTTTTTGGAGAATTGACAATTTATTGCAACGTTTGATATGGAGATATTTGGAATGTTAATGCAACCATTAGTATGCAGATCTATAATGAGCTTAAGTACACAGGATGCTAAGGGACGGGACCAGGCAATAAATTTATGTTATTCAATCTGGTGTTTCCTCAAGATGTAGATATTATTGTTGAAATTGAACTTACCATGTAATGCTTAGGTTTGAGAACTGGATCTGAAGGGAGTCTTTTTCATCTCACCACACTTTTTTTTTTTTTTTTCCCTCTTATGATGTTATACGGACTACATTTTGCTGGAGATCATATGGAGGATTTTTCAAATTTAGATTTAGGGAATTTGGGAAGTCTTACATTGTTACTAATTATACCTAGAAATTTGTGCATACTCACTATTGGTATTCACGTTTACTCCCAAACAAAATATTGAAGCCTTATTACATTAGTCAGTACCATAATGTTTCCTTAACATTTTCTTTTGCAGCCAGTTGGAGTTGTTGGTGTTATTACCCCTTGGAACTTTCCATTGGCTATGATTACAAGAAAGGCTGGTCCCCTTCATGAGTATTTGTGTTCAATTGTTTATGTGTCATTCATTTTACTTTTATGATAACATTATCTTTCCAGTTAATGTATGCTATTGAAAAAACCTTATTTTCTGTTACCCTTGCATTCCAGGTTGGACCTGCTCTTGCATGTGGTTGTACGGTGGTCATAAAACCTGCGGAACTTACCCCCTTGACAGCTTTAGCAGCAGCTGAGCTCTCACTTCAAGCTGGAATTCCTGCAGTAATTACTGATGAGAATATCCTGCTTTTAATTATTTTTTATATTTTTTTATTCCAGAATTTTTTTTTTTTTTGAAAGCCTTCCTTATACATATATATTGGCAAGACCAATCGAATTTGACTTCGTACTTGTTTTTCTGATAGTCTAGGTATATGCTTGTTTTTTGCATGAATTACTTTTAGTAGGCTATGTTTTGTCATTAACTGCTAATGGTAAGCAAGAAGTTTTGCAGAACATTAGTTAGGCATGAATGACATCCCTTAGTTCTCTTCGTTTTACATATTTGTTAATCCCTATCAGAAAACATATTTGTTGAACTGCGTTGTGTTCTCAAAACTTTGTATTTGCATTCGTCTCTGTAATCTTCAGTTTGCAGCTCAGTGTTGGTGCAATTTTCAATTCCTAGCGTACGGGTAATAGTTGATTTTTTTTAATGTGTAGGGAGTCGTGAATGTGGTTATGGGAGATGCTCCAGCTGTTGGGGATGCTATACTTGCAAGTTCTCAGGTTCCTTACAATATTAATAGAAGAATTACTTTTGCAGTATGGTGCTACTGCTTTAATCTTATTGGTGCATCAAACCTATGCAGGTAAGAAAGATCACGTTTACTGGCTCAACGGCAGTTGGAAAAAAGTTGATGGCAGGAGCTGCTGGAACTGTTAAAAGGGTATTCACAGTTCAGAATATTAAAGTATTTTTTCAGGATTGAGATTTGAAAAACCTAATGTGGCTTATGATACTTGTTTCTCTTCTCTAGGTGTCCTTAGAACTTGGTGGTAATGCCCCTTGCATAGTCTTTGATGACGCAGATGTGGATGTTGCAGTAAAAGGAGCCGTAAGTAAAATTTCAGCATTTGGAACTCAATGTAGTTTTATGGTAAAATATCACGGATAGGATCTGACATCATTGTTTTTGTTATCTTTGCCGCTGTATCTATCTAGATTTTTTTTTAATCAAACAACATGTTTTGTACAATAATTTGTCCTGTCAAAAGTCACAATTGCAGTGCTTACAAACATGGGTCTGTAGTTTGTAAGTTTTTAGAGGTGAACGAATGCCTGTCTATTGAGGATCATGGCCCAGAAACAATCTTAGTCATGCATGGTTCATAAAATTAGCACTCAACGTGATGTATCTATCTCTAATAACTTTCTCATATAGTGAATACTACCCGGGGATGTGTGTCTATTCAATCACCACTCTTTCCAACAGAAAACTGGGGATGGAGCCTGTTTGTGTTGACGACTTTGCTTTGACTTTTCATCTTTCAGAGCTTATAATGTACCTAAGTTGAAATTATTCTTTTACTTTTCCTCAAAATTACATTCCACTTGCAGTTTTCATTATACATGTCAGTTAATCTTTCTGTCTGTTTTGTAAACTTTGGAAAGTAAACTATTTTTCTGGAAGTGCAATGTTATCTTGCTTTGAAAAATTCATTAGGAGCATTAGCATTACGTGACATACTTCTATGGAAAATTTAGTAGTGAAACCCTTTTTCATCTTTCAGATTGCAGCGAAGTTCCGAAATACTGGACAGACTTGTGTTTGTGCGAATAGAATTTTTGTTCAAGAAGGTATTGACAGATGTATACTTCAGTTCTGAAGGATGCTTCTTCTGCTCATTTAAAAGACGTCTCACAGATGCGAGTAGTTTTTTGCTTGAGAATTTTCTGAATGCTTTTGATAGTATTATTAGTGAAATCTTACGTTTCGTAGTTGACTTTAATACCTTGAATTAGACTAACGAACTAGGACATTCACTTGTCCATTTAGGTTTTGCTTAAGTTCTAAGAAACGATGGTAGTGATAGATGAACTAATTCTAAAGAGTTGAAAGCTATTAGTTGATACGTAAAACATGCTATTAGGGTGCCAATGGCTGGTAGGGGGATATGTTCGTTATCTGATATATCAAGTCAAAAGAAAAATCTTTGAAATTCTTCTTACCATTGAATTTGGGCAGTGGTTCTTCATTTTCAGATCTCATAAGTAGCACTTAACGTGGGAAGGGTAGAAACATCGAAGGGCTTTAATGGAAAGTGTAGAAAGTTTTAAGTGAGGTTAGATTTTGTTTGTAAAAGCCTCTCGTTGGAGGTTCTTGCTCAAAAAATTTCGCAATTGCTCTTGTTTGTAACTTTATTGGTTTTCCTTGGATGAATTCTTGTACTTCCATAATTTCAAATCCTTGCTTCATGCGAAAGTTTTTTTTTTTTTTTTAATTTTTAATTCCGAAAAAGAAACAAGCCATGTAAACCTTTGTGAAGGATGAGGAATGGATGGAGGATAGAATTTATATGAAAAAGATGTTCTCCCCTCTCTCATCACCTTACCCCAACTACACCCCCCTGCCACCCTCCTCTGCCACCTACCCAGGTATCTGCATTGACCTACTCGTTGGCCAATCACGACTTCCACTTTAACACCATGGAACCAATCGACACGCTCCATAGTCATGGACTGCAAAACCTTCACTATAGCTTTTGACAAACACTCTCGAGGCAGCAAGGACAAAATCACCGAGTATGGCTGATTCACCTCCCATTCCCTGACCCTCACCATGGATGGCTTTAACCTTCAACACCCTTGTCAAATATATGTGCTCCATCAAATTCTTCTCTGAAATTCGGTGCATTGAAAACATACTTTGGGTAGAAAAGTTTAACAACAAATATGGTTTCTTCTTTGAAGTTATTGAACAACTCCACAACGGAAGTAGAAAGCGCATTCTCATCTCATCTGAGACTGTATATTGTAATGTGTTAATATCACTTTCTAATTTGATTTTCTATTTTCTTCGAGAAGATGAATATCTTTGTTGGGATAGTACAATAGTTTCATTTAATCTTAAATTAATTCTTGAATTCATTTTGGATTATTAGCTTTGACCAGATGAATCATGTTTTTTTTTTCCTTCGATTTGAACTAAGCTCTAGTTTTCAGGTATATACGAGAAATTTGCTGATGCTTTCTCAAAAGCTGTGCAAAGTCTGCAAGTTGGTGATGGTTTCGGGGAAGGTGTATCTCTGGTAGTTGCTCGTGCCCTTAATTCATTATTCAGTTGTGATTGTTAGTCTTTTCTTTATAAAACTATCTTCCAAGCTCGAGGTAATTTAATTTTATCAAGTGCCAGTATTTTGTTTGCTATCGTTTAACATTCCATATTTTACCCCTTCGTACTTTGAAGGACCTCTCATTTTAAATGTTTTGTCATCAACCTTTCAAAGTTAAAACCCAGATATTACTGGAATATGCAACTAATGCTCTTTCTTGGAAAATTTAGTTAAAAAAGAAACATGGGAATTTTTTTTTACTGGACATATGAATGTTAGCAAACTTTGGATTGTGTTTGCTTTGTTTCTTATTTTCGGATTTCTTATCTAAGTATGAATGCCCTCCCTTTTACATTAGTTTGAATTGGATAGTTTTTTTTTTCTAATTTTTGTTGGCCGTCAGTTTGGGAAGATGTCTCCTCTTTTCTTCTGTTTTCTTCTGTTTTCTCTTCAATGATATCATATGTTCTTTTCTCTGAAAAAGATAATGACACACTTGTTCTAACAAGGACATTATGTTATAGCTGCTTTACAATAAACTTATTACTAGTTGAACTTGAGGTTTCTCTATAACGCTTTTAAGAACCATAATTTAATTTGCACTTCATTTGTTCAGGGTCCTTTAATTAATGAAGCTGCCGTGCAGAAGGTTTGTTTTGTTTCCGTCAAGTTAACCATCAAATCTGCATTCTTGTCATTTAATTTGAGCAGTTTCTGTATGAATTAATGCATGTGATTTATTTATTTATTATTATTATTATTTTGTTATAGGTTGAGAAATTTCTTCAAGATGCCACCACAAAGGTTTGTTTCTGACCTAATCTCGTGGAACTATTAGGTACTATCATGGTAATGAGTCAAAGAGGCTCTGATGACTTGTTACTTTACGTTAAATGGTGTTTGGTATTGCCACTCACCAGTCAGTTTCCAAAAGTTGAACAAAAAATTTCAGGATTTCTAAATCGTGCAATGAATGTAGATGTTTAGCTTTCCTGAAGAAATATGCCTATTTGATTTGTGCATTGCCAATTTCTTTTCCAGAGGATTCATTTGTTTCTTTTTAATGTAATTAAATGGGCTTTGGTTCTTCTTTTTAGGGATCTTTGGTCTTAGGATTAATAGAGCCAAATATTATGTATTTGACAATGATTGGGATAATGAGAACTTGAGAGGTAGGATGTTGAGCTCATATATCTACGGTTTTTAGTTTCCCTATTATTATCTCGGTTGTAGGGCGAAATTAATTAGTTGTATTGTTGTTTCCGTTCTATTATCCATTCACGGACATGTTACCATTTGTTACTGTGGGTACTGGTTCTGTCAGTTGAGTTCTGTAAGTTACTGTGGGTACTGGTTTCTTATAATAATTATTTATCCTCTAATTAATCCTCTTTGGTAAAAATTTTTTATTCGTAGTTTGATAATCATTTGGTTTTTGGTTTTTTGTTTCTTAAAATTAAACTTATAAACACTACTTCCACTTTTGAGTTTTTTGCTTTGTTATCTATTTTTATAGTAATGTTCTTAAAATCTAAGTCAAGTTTTAAAAACTAAAAAAATTTTGTTTTTGATTTTGGAATTTAGTGCATAGATTCTTTTCCTTTGGATAGGTGAAAACCACTTTAAAGAATTTGTAAGAAAACAGCCACAATTTTTTTAAAATCCAACCAATTTATATTCAAGAGCTTTAGTGCATAGATTCTTTTCCTTTGGATAGATGAAAATCACTTAAAGAATTTGTAAGAAAACAGCCACAATTTAAAATAAAAAACAAAATCTATGCACTAAATAGATATCAAATGGGCTCTAGTTATTGAAAAAAAGTCTATAAGTACCTTCAACTTTTCATTCTTATCTGCAATACCTTGAATAGCTAACATGCTAAACATTGACATACATACGCCAATTAAAGGTTGAAAGGTCCTGAGAAGATACTGAAGTGTTGATAGATTAAATGCCTGTGTGGGCTTTTGTCACTTGGGATTTTTGTAGTTGTCAGTTTGGTCTAATTGGGTTGGGTTGGACTATTTGTCTGTAGCGTCTCTTCGGTTATTTTATTTTATTTTTTATTTGCATCTTTTTATATTTACTCATGCATTTAATTTATCACAATTTAAAAAAAGAAGGAAAAGAAAAGCTTTCCTAAATTTTGGGGCATGTTGACGTGATTATGTTTTCACAATTAATGTCACTAATAAATCCTTTAAAGTTCACTTAGTTCTCTTTCCCTCCCTCTACTTTCCTATTTTTCTTATGAAGGGAGCAAAAGTTCTTCTTGGAGGTAAAAGACACAGCCTTGGAATGACATTTTTTGAGCCTACAGTTCTTACTGACGTGAAGAATGACATGCTTTTATCCAGGTATTAATGTTGCGTGTTACGTGACCTCTCCTTAATCATCTTCAGAACCTAGTTTAATTAGTCAACTGACATTCACTTAGATGTCTTGAATGTCGAGATTTCTAATGTCAATGCATATATTGGAGCAATTTTTGTTGCAATAACTTTATTCTCTCTCTTTTATAAGATCCTAAATTAGAAATTTCTCCGACCCTAGAGACTTTTCTTGACTGTCCCCTTTCTATCATCTTGATCGGAATTGTATTAGTAATTGGTTAGAGAAGTTGTTATGTTAATAAGGGAAAAAGGGTGAAGATAGCCATTGATCCAGTTGGTTTAGGTTTGAGTGATCTCAAGAGAGGAAGGGTCCAGTACCTCAACAGTCATGGTTTATCTGGTAGTTTTGTTATCTTTTATTTTTTTCAGTATATTTGGTTCTATCACACCTCAACTAACCTCGTGGCTAATATCTTTTTTACGTTATTTATTTATTGTCCTCTGCGAATGGGATATTAGAATCCCTTTCATTAATAAAGAAAGAGGAAGCAAAAGAGGGGAAAAGTATAAAGTATCCAGTCAGTAACCAATTTTTTTATCGATTTGACTCGGATATGGAAGATTCTGTTTGGCACTTAATGTGTGTAATGTTCTTGTGACATGTGCAAGATTTCTAAAAAGCATAATTAACATCTATACTTGATTTGGAACTGGGCATTCCTTCAATCCTATGCTCAACCGTGCTTCATGGCTTTGTATTTTTGAACTGGTTCTATTTTACATCAGGGAGGAAATATTTGGTCCCGTGGCACCCTTACTGCCATTCAGAACAGAGGAGGAAGCAATTGCTCTCGCTAATGACACCAATGCAGGTTCTGCTCTAGCCATGATATTCTAATCATGTATTCTGCCCCATTTTTCACCATTGATTAATTGTGTTTCTTAGTACTTTTTAAGTGATCAATTCACAAAATTTAATTAATCTCTGATGTCTTATAGGATTAGCTGCTTACATATTCACAAATAGTATTCAACGTTCATGGAGAGTGACTGAAGCTCTTGAATACGGATTGGTTGGTGTTAATGAAGGCTTGATTTCTACAGAGGTGAGCCTCATCCTGCCATCTCTTTTACCCTTTTTTCCTGGGGGGGGGGGGGGGGGGGGGGGG